AAGTCCGCAATCGTGTTATGTTTTTTTCAGGTAAAAAGGTAAAAAGTCCGCAATCGTGTTGCACCGCTAAATACTAACCTATAACATTCAATAAAATTATAACAATAATTAATTTGTCTACGAGTAAATTCATTTGATTCGACCCTTGTCAACCGAACTCCATATCTGGATCGCAACAAGGCCTTATACACAGTATACCTAATACATTATGGAATTTCCTATCATATATCATAACCTTAAAAATTATGTCTGAATTATGCGGACTACTAAAAACAATAAGAAACATGTTGTAAACTCACCCTTTACCTCTTATGCTCATCGCATTGTTTGGTATTGTTGACAGGAAACTATTATTTATACATTTTATATTATATATGATAGGTATATTCATTTTCAGATATTTTGTTTTATTGTTTTCTCTTTTGCTCTATTGATGAATGTGTTTTTATAATTCTTGAACAATAATAAGTATATAAATATATTATTTTAAGTTTTTTAGACTTTTACTCCAACACTATTCCACCTAAAAATGTTTTCCTCAGCCAATTGGACTTAAACTCAGAAGTTTTTTAGGTTAACAAATAAAGAAAAAATGTATTTTATTTTCTTGAGCCAAATAAATAAATTATTATTAGTATTATATCAATATGATGTAATTTTAACAGACATTACTAACTAAACTTTCTATTTAAGATAATGTTAATGCTAAAATTGTTTTACTTTAATTAATGTATTACACACTTACATTTTTTATCTACAAATTTTGATTTTTTTTATGCATAATATATATTATTTAAGCCATTTTTAGTGCATACAAATGTGGACCTTAATGATAATTACATAGTTGAGTTAGGTATTTTTGTTTTAAATCATCATTCATCTCATATTATTGAACTAAATATTTTAAAATATAATCTTACAAAATATATTAGTAATTTAGATATTAATAGATACTTTGTACCACCCAGATGGGAATTATTTTTTAATTTTTGTATTTGAAATTAATGATAGTTCTATGATTATAATTCATAATAATATGAATAATAATATAATCTTAGAAATATTAAATGTTTTTATTCATTCATATGATGTAAGACATAACATACTTCACTAATTAATTGTTTTCTTGGTTTAAAATTTAAAAATAATAACTAGATAAGTTCGAATTGCCACTATTTAATTTAAAATAAAACTTAATATATTTTAGGTTGTTCTAGCATTGGGCGATTATCTTAATGTTCAATGCCATGCATGCATTGGTGGCACAAACCTTGGAGAAGACTTAAGAAAATTGGACTTTGGGCAACATATTGTTTCTGGTACTCCTGGACGTGTTTTTGGTATGTAAACAAGATTTTATTTATGAATTTTTGTTGATTTATTAAAATGATTTAACAGATATGATTAGATGCAAAGCATTGCGTACTCGCAATATTAAGACATTGGTGTTGGATGAAGCTGATGAAATGTTAAATAAAGGATTCAAGAAACAAATATATGATGTTTATCTTTTTTTGCCACCTGCTACTCAAGTATGATTAAATTATTATTATTTACCTACAATAATGTAGTTGCATATTTTGTATTTTTATGCTATCCCAATAATTTTCAGCTAATATTTTAATTTTAAAACTAATTATTATTACATTAATTTTAATTTTTTGATCAATTTACCTAAGTCTTCTAACTTTTATAATTTATTGTAACTAACAGTGTCGGCTAGTGCGGTTAATTTAGAATGTACCTACCTATTTAGGCTGGTTAAAAAGTATTAATTTTGTTATCCATACGTACCACAAATTAAGTTCCTATTTAAGCGCTTGTTATCTTGCAGCAATATGAGAAGGTTGGAGACTCAAAATTATTATTAATAAGGCACATCGTTTTGTATCCTGTTTGTCTTAATTTGTGGTACATATCCAAAATAATGTACTTTTCTAAATTTAATCACGGCCATTAATGGCTACTGTATGGTGGTGTGCATAAATTAAATTTTTCTATTAGTTTTCTACTAATAATTATTATTTACTATAGGAATCTAATAATTTGTATATGATGTTTTTGACGTGCTTCTATGCTCAATAGTAAGGGGCCACTGGTAACTAATTAAATATTTTTTTATAATTTTATAAGTTATTCTAATATCAGCCACTTAACCTCATGAAATATTAGAAATAACTAACAAATTTATGACCAATCCAATAAGAATCCTACTAAAGCGGTTTGTAAAAATTTGACTGGAAATGCGTTGTTTTAAATTTTTAACTAATAAATATATTTTATAGCGATGAATTGACACTTGAGGGAATTAAACAATTCTTTGTTGCTGTCGAACGCGAAGAATGGAAATTTGATACTTTATGTGACTTGTATGATACACTAACTAATAACTATAACTCAAGCAGTTTCTGTAGTACTAAAAGGAAGGTTAGTCGTTGATCATTAAAATAAGATTAATATGTGAATCATAATTAACCTAAACATTGAATTGCTTAGGTGGACTGGTTGACAGAAAAAATGAGGGAGTCAAATTTCACTGTTAGTTCGATGCATGGAGACATGCCACAGAAAGAAAGGGATGCTATAATGAAAGAATTTCGCGCTGGACAAACGTAAGTGTTCCTAGCATGTCTTTGTAATTTTTTTTTTTTAATATTTTAATTGACTTAATAACTTATAACAATGAAGCTGTTACACATTTTTCTCATTTATTATTGATATGTATGTACAGGAGAGTTTTGATTACAACAGATATTTGGGCTCGTGGGATTGATGTACAACAGATTTCTTTGGTCATAAATTATAATTTACCAAAAAACCGTGAATTGTATATACACAGGTAATATATTTTCTTTCTGAACTAAACATATAAAATACAATTAATACTCATAATAAAAAATAATTTTAATAAGAATTTTATCATATACTGTGCTGAATCTAATTTGTTAAGAAACAAAATAACAATCATTTTATTTTTAGAATTGGCCGTTCTGGAAGATTTGGCCGCAAAGGTGTTGCAATAAATTTTGTAAAGAGTGACGATTTAAGAATTTTAAGAGACGTAGAGCAATATTATTCCACCCAGATTGACGAGATGCCTATGAATGGTAAAGCTAACTAATAGTTATTGTATTATTGATTGTGATATATTGTGCATTAAAATTAATGTAAAATGAACACTAATAACTTATAATTTTACATATGTAACTTTGAAAACGAACAGCTTTTATTTATTGTGAAAACTATATTAATTTTTAAAGTATATAACATGATTTTCTTGAATAAATACAGTACAAAGCTTATACTATAATATTGTTTATATTTTTCAGTTGCTGATTTGATATGAGGACATGAAAAATGAGGCGTAACCCAAAAAGGAATATCTGATAGATAATCTCATTGTTCAGTTTTTTTAAATTCAGATGTGTCATAATATATTGAATTTCTTTGCTATTATATATTTAAATTAAGAAACCTTTGCATTTAATATTATTATTATTTATGAATTTTTTTTATTAGCCAGTCTGTGGTTTTGGAAAAAAAAGTTAATTAGCTGTAGAATGATAATATTTAAACTAATATTTTCTTACTATTAATTATTATTATTTAGAGTTCAAAATTGTAATTTTATTATTTATAACTAGAGCTTGGATGTTTATAACTAGAGCAAGAACTTACATGCATTTGCATGTTTTTTCTGGTTTAGTTAAACGTATGCAGAGTAAGTACACAATACCTTTCACAATGTTTATGATCAAAAGCTATAAGTTTTTAGTGCATATTTTGATGGTTTATCGAAAATTGAGCACTTTGGTGAATATTTTCTATGAATCAAGATCAACAATTTGTTATAAACTTATAAAGACGATAGAGATAAATTTTATAGTATCAAGTAACTATTTATAGTCAGTGGGTGGATTAGATTAGTTCTAGTAGATTTGCCACGTGTGTATAAGTTCCATGAGTTTAATTTGTATATAACATTCGTGAGTAATATGCCAAAAGAAAAATTCGACAAAAGCTTATTGTTTGTGTGATTTTGTAATCGAGTTTGGTGAATCTGTATTTTCAACAGATAATAATTAAGAAGAATGGGATCCGACATTCAAACAAAAATTCAAATTAATTTACTTATAGTGAATAATAATAAAATTAATTTTTAAAGGCATATTTAACCGCATATTTTTAATTTTTTGATGCATAAGTGCATGTTTTTAAATGCGTATTTGATGATTTTTTAGTGCATGAAACTCCTTGCTCTATTCATAACTGTATATTTTGTGAGCGCAGCTAGAATTATAACAGAGTATGACATAAATTTGATTCTTGATGATCTATACTCTGTCTTGCTAGAAAGAACATCCAAATAAACTGGCTGGGCAGTCTCTAGGACTAAATTCTCCCACCATGCGGTATCTTTATGTGAATACCACTTTGCACTACCATGGGCATTGGCGTTCATACGAGTAAAGTGGTGGGAATGCTCAACTATAGACAACTATTAGTTGCCTTCTCTCTTGCTGAACCTAGTTTAAATTGAAAATCTGCAAACTTTTTCACTTATTTGAGCTTATAATGACTATTTAGTAGCATGTTTACTAGATAAAGTCCGATATTAATTTCAACGTTAATTTCAAGTAAATAGTACCAACGAAATCAGTTGACGTTAAGTTGGTGGAGTCTTTTTAAATTAATAAAAATATATTGTTGGATTGTCAAATGTCTTTTAAATTAAGCTATGTAAAATTGTATTTATATTATGCCAAATTGGATGTTTAAAAATAATTTCTTATCCCAGTATAATTGTTAATGAAAGAATTTTAGGTTCAATTTTTAAAATACCAACTACATTATATTTTACTATTTAACACCTATGCTCTATTTATTACATTACATAATTATATTATAATATCTATATATTTCCACACACTCTTGGCATGATAATACCAATTATTTGTGTTGCTCTATCTGTCGGTATGAGTAAGTAATAAGTATAATAATGAGGGGTACATTAAAAATAGTAAAATGTGTTGTTAAGCAAAATCGCCAACTCGCAATTCTATTATTTAAGTGTTGAAAAAATTTAAGATTTGAACAAAGGGTAGAAATATGTATTAGTCTTATAATTTTAGTTTTGAGCTTAATTTATTTGTCACATTTGAGTTAGTTGCTTGAAGAGTTAATTGTTAATCTTAGTATAGAATAGCAGCGTTGTAAAGCATTTGAGTATTAATAATACTTTTTTGATTATTCAGTATTTTTTTATGTACTTTCAATATCCAGTATTTTTGTAGTATTTTAAATACTTTTTTTGTATTGAATACTCAACTAATTTATTTCTGATGGTTCATTTTATTTGTTTTATTTTCTGATTTTCTTGTACATTCTCGAATATAATATATGTGCTGATTATTTTGATTTATTTTTTATTTAGTTTATATTCAAATGTGGAAATGATAATAACCTAAACACATTATTTCAGTGACGTATTTAGAAATTTGCTTTGGGAGGTATATATATTTTTACTAATATTCTTTAAACTTCATTAGTTTCCAAAAATGACTTAAACTTTATAGGAAACAATTATTTATTATGTTATTAGTTTAATAGTTTATTACCTACTACAAAAATCAATTTTTTTTTGTGGGTACTTGCGTACATTTTAAATACTTATAAAAAGTATTTGAGTATTGCTATTGAGTAGGTATCGATACTATAGGTAATATAATGGTATTACTTAAATCCGATGTCTTATTAGTATTCGACAAGTATTTTAGTAGTTTTGTAAGTAGATATCCACCATTTATTCTGTACTTCCTACACGGCTTGTTACATTTTAGTTGTATGATGTATAAACAAAATTATATTATAATTTATCATAGTTTAAACACCGAATAAAAAATCGTAGTATAATATTTTCGTGTTGTATCTATAATAATTAATAATATAAATTATAGTTATCATTATAAAATTATAGTTGGACAATCAAAATATCAAATATTATCTCTCACCAGCCCTCGCATTATAAGACAAGAGTTTAGTAGACAGACGATAACAATAATTGACAGGATAACACTATTGTAGTATTGTGCCAACCTAATTGGACGGTTTTTATGTAAAGGGGCACAAGTCATATTTTGACATTTTTTTTTTATACATTAATTTTGTGTGAAATTTTATGCCCGATCGAATGGTAGCACTGTCGTGGTCGCACGATGATTTGTTATCACCGTATATTGAAATGCGATAAGGCACAAGTCTAAATAAACGATTTTTTTTTTATGCAAAACGGCACAAGTCAAATTATTTAATTAATATAATATTATAATTTTATTAGTTTATATTAGTTTTTATTAAACAACCAGCTTACACGATGTCTAAAAGGACATTAAATTTATTATCTCGTGTTACAAGTAAGTATCTTTATATTATTATCTATATTTGTTCTGTTATACAAATAATTAATTCAGAAAAATAATGTGGTAATTTAAAGCTTCAGAAACTAATGTCACATATTCTGCTAAGAGAAAACTTAATTTTAATGGACTTCCACATAAAAAAATCCAGGTAATTGACATTTCAAATAATTATAATATTATTGTTTACAAAATATATAATCTCAACTTAAGATTTTATAAACATGTGGAGGGACTAGCTAAAAATAAAAATTTTAATGATATATTTTTTTTATATTTCACTATATCAGTTATTATATTTATAAAGTTAAATAGATTTTGTTTTAGCCTAAACTTATTATGTTATGGTTATTTATATTTAAACTATAATAGTGATATAACTCAAAAGCCCCTACACAAGTTTTCTCAGTGTGGCCCAGTATTCATTGTATGAAATTGGTATTTAAATCAAATTAAAATATAAACTAACTAACTTATAGTTGACTAGCTATTCATTTGAAAAGTGTAATAATTTATTGCATTTTACAGGAATGGGTGAATCTCTCACAGTCTCACATAACAATAAAAAAAATAATGAGGTTGAAGTAAGTACCTCAGGTATATAGTAAATTAGTAAGTACTTTATAAAAAAAAAAACAATTATGTTAAATCTATTGAATTTGGTATGAAGGTATTTAATTAATTTTATTGTAAATTTTGCTAAAATAGCCAGCTCAAGAATCAAAAGATAATACTATAAATTTTAATGGAAAAGTTTTTGAAATTATAACTGAAGATGAATATAATATTCATAATAATAATTCACTTAATGAGCCTGAAAAGCTATATGAGTATAAACAACATAAGGAGATACTTGAATTTGTGCCCAAGGTGATCAACTTATTTTATTATTATAATATTTTAGTAAATTTTAATAATTTATAAAATTGTAGATTTTATAGCAATAATGTTATAAACTATAAAGGATACATTTTTATAATTTCAGTAAATATATGTTTTTATATTTTGCTTTAAAATAGTAATTTTTGTCTATTCAAATAATTATATTGATTCAATATCCACTTTAGGCTGTAAGTAGTGATGACAGATTTGAAGAATATTCAAATAATTCGGATGATAAAAGTATTATTCCTGGCACACCAGAAAATTCTTTACTGTTGACTAACAATGATATTTCTGACATCCCAGAACCTACTTTATTATTATCTAATATTGATATTCCTAGCACATCAGAACATACTTTATTGTTGAATAACAATGAAGAAGAGGCTCATCCAACTGGTAGGAAAGTCAGGGTTAGCATAAAAGGTGATACTGTTCAGTATCGTAGTTACATAAAGTCAAACAGGAATTCTGGTAATAAATATGTCACTAATAAAGGTAAAATTATTGAAAGCAGATTTTCAAAAGAATTACCAAACTGTAGGGAAAAATGTAATTCAAAAATTGACTATACATTACGTGAGCAATTATTTACTACATATTGGTCAATGAAAACTCACAATAGAAGAACTACTTATATTTCTGGATTAATAACTTTTCATGAGAAAAAAGTAAACCGAAAACGTAGATTGACACCGGAAAAACAAAAAAAACAGGAATACAACTATTCATTATTTTATTCCCGATAAAAATAAACTCTTAGTTAAAGTTTGCAAGGGATGTTTTCTGAAAATATTTGGTGAAACTACTAAATTTCTGCGCA